AGCACTTACCTTCTGTTTGCATTTGAATTTGTACTTTGTATAGTTCTGTCCCTGTAGTGCCTATGTCAAATGCTGCTGATCTCAGTGGACAAATACCACTTAAACAAGGGAGCAACATATTCCCAGACTTGCCAGCTGTGTAAATGTGAACAGCTGTATGGGCTTTCTTTTTTTGAAAGCAGCAGCTCAGTGCTATTTAGTGTTTGGCTGGGTAGAAATTGTGCTTGATTTTAGCGTGTTTTTTGTCTCTCAGCAAGACAATTAGACTGTTTTAGGGCTGCATATTGTAGTCCTTCAGGAGAAGACTCAGCTGACTTTAACCAGGAGCCTCTCTTGAATAAGGGTGGCAGGACTGAGCTTTTCAATACTGGGGACAACTCTTCATGAGTGGAACCAGCTCTTCTGACTCTCTGGGCTTTTGTTACAAAATGAAAAAAAAAAATGTTCTGTCATCCCTTCCTTTTCAGCATAGCATATGTGGAAGGACTTTGGGGGCACAGTTACTTGAAAACCAGTTATTTGAAGGGAAAGATGATGAGATCATTGACAATCACTACTAGTAACAACAAAGCAACTAGTTCTTACTAATCTGTAACAAAAGGAACTAGAAAGCTCTGTATGCTTCTGTGTGTGCATCTCTCATGTATTTGAGATGTTAAAGCTGCATGTGGTACTTAGAGACCAGGAGATTCCTACCTCAACACTCCTTTGTGCTCTCTCCTGTTTCTTGTGTCTAGTCCTGAACCTGACGCTGGTGGATCTGCCGGGTATGACAAAGGTCCCAGTAGGGGACCAGCCCCCTGACATCGAGTTCCAGATCCGAGATATGCTCATGCAGTTTGTCACCAAAGAGAATTGCCTCATCCTGGCAGTATCCCCAGCCAACTCTGATTTGGCCAATTCTGATGCCCTGAAGATTGCAAAGGAGGTGGATCCTCAAGGTATATATCTTTTAATTTAATATGACACTACTAGACAGTGGCCTGATTTTCCTTTTATTTTTGGGTTTTGATTAGCCCAGTAGCTGTGGACTTCTGTCTGTTGTATTGGGTTGTATCTTCACCAACATGCATTCTTCTGAGAGGCTTTAGTGAGTGTTAACAGCTACTGTAGTAGAACTTTTGTTATTCCCCTTTTCTCCCTTTGTTGAGTCCTGTTTCTGAAGCAGTGAAGGATTTCCTTTCCTTTAGTCATCTGCATTCTGCCTGCAGAGATGGGATAGTATGTACGTGTTTTGTCAGGGTATAACTGAGAAGTGAGCTTGATTCTTGTCTGTTTTGCTCTAATGGCCTCTTAGACATGATGGCAACTGTGATGTTTGAGTTCAAGAGCCCTCAAGTAGTCAAGCTGGGCAATTTAAGCTCTGTGAACAGAGGAAAGTATTACATGAATTATTTTCTTGATCAAGTACTCTTTTTTTCCACAGGCCAACGCACTATTGGAGTCATCACTAAGCTGGACCTTATGGATGAAGGAACTGATGCACGAGATGTATTAGAAAATAAATTACTTCCTCTTCGTAGAGGTGTGTTTCCTAAGGCTTTGTCCATGATCTTTTTCCTCTTTTCCCTGTGTGAGGTATCCTGGACTCCTCTCCCCTCCAGTGCATCCTCTTCCTGCAACATCTGATAAAACTTGTGGTTAAGCCATCTCTTTTCCAAGCTGAATCAGTTGGGAAGCTGAGATTAGTCACACTGTTCAGAGGAACTTTTTAGGTGTCTGTACACTGACTTGTAGTCCTAGCAGAAGCATGGCTTTATGCTCTTGTCTTTTTCTCATTTCTGTTAGTAAGGCAAGCTGCAAAAACAGAACTCCTGTCTAAAAGAGTCCCTTTGTCTTTTGTCTAGGTGAGCTTGCCATAGTATATCAGAGGAAAGGATTTTGGCCTGTGATACATGCTCTGTGTAGCCATAGCAAAGTACCTATCCTAAGAGGAGTCTCAAATGAGTGAGGCTAGGACATGCTTTGTGACTGGGGGAACAGTGATAAATAAGCTAATTCTCAGTTGCATAATCCTTTTTGTCATGCATACCAAAATATCAGAACCTGGGCTGTTCAGAAGAAATTCTAGTTTTAAACTCTTCTAATTGAGTCCTAATAATGTGTTGCCACTAAAATTCCCTTTTTGTGGTGCTGCCAGCTGGGTAACTTCCTTCTCAGTCTGAGTCCCATTTATATTCTCATCTCTGCAACCATCTCACCTCTAACCCCACTCTTTCACAGGTTACATTGGTGTAGTGAACAGAAGTCAGAAGGACATTGATGGCAAGAAGGACATTCAGGCAGCTCTGGCTGCAGAGAGGAAATTTTTTCTCTCCCACCCAGCCTACAGACACATGGCTGATCGCATGGGAACCCCCTACCTGCAGAAAGTATTGAACCAGGTATTGTCAGCTGTTAAGAACTGCTGCCTGCTATGTCAAAGGAGTGGCCTGGCTGGCCATCAGGGCTCTTCTGAGATGGAAGAACACAGGAAAAGCTAAAACTTGTGCTCACCAAGCTGATAAATGCTTTAAATTGTTTTGCTGCAGTGAAACTTGTGAACTGTTCCTCCTCTGCATCACAAAAGGCATTTTGGTGCCAAGTCCTATGAAGTGTGCATGACTGGTATACTCCTGATTCAGTGAAATACATTCAGGACAGTAACAGAGCTCACACACCAAAGGCAGAGCACTGCTTTGTCCTCTGTGACACTGGTGCAAAATCAATAGTTGGGTCATGGCATTTATGCTATCAGAATGCAAGGTCTTTCTGGCTAAGCTAAAAAGATACCTTCTAAATTTGTAGTGGTCTCTGTACCTAGCAGTAAGCTGCAGAGATTGATTTCAGTGTGATACTGGTAGTAACTTTCTCATCTGTTAAAGCTGTTGTATGTCTTGTGGAGCAGCAACTTACCCTTCCTTCTCACTCTGTTCTCTTGAAATACTCCCTTAAATGAAATTACTTTTTCCTTTTTCCTCCTTATTTAAGTATTCTTCCCTAAACTGGAGTTTTTCACAGCTGTGCTCTGGAAACCCTCTTGTTAGAGCCTCATCAGTGGGCTTGACTCTTT